TGGCAGTGTGGTAGCTTAGCTGCATGAAAGTTGTCCTAATGCTGGTACAAATAGATTAACGTTTGTCCAAGTGTATGTTATTGTGAAACATGCAATTCCTTTGTCTTAAACCATTGATTACGTATGTCAACATTCTTCCACACGAAAATCTGCTTGTATATGGAGGAGAGAGCTATTTCTGGGCAACTTTCCGCACCAAAGTGGGAGTTCTGTGTGCATGTGGCTAGAAATGTGATAGCTAAATTAAGAATTGATATTTTTGGAGTCTAATGTTCAAGGAAGATGAATAAAAAGAAATTTGGTGTAGGTGGCTAAGGTTGAATGATTTGTACTGAAGGATCAATGGCTTTTAAATGATTTTATGAGTGTTGTTGTGCAGGAGCTTATTAAAGACCAGGTTGCAAACATGTATCTGTGGCCCAAAACCCTGGAGGTTCCAATCATAGATCCATCAAAGTTTGTTCCCGCAATTTTTCTTCTGAGCAGATTTTTCCTGGACATGTTTATTATTATTCATAACCCCTTATTTTTACTCATTTTTGTTGGGAATCATAGAGCCATGAAGAGGCCTGTTGGAATTCTCAGTGCAAAGGTGCTGAGAGCTATGAAGCTAAAGAAGAAAGACCTTCTGGGTGCATCTGATCCTTATGTGAAACTAAAGCTTACTGAGGATAAACTACCTTCAAAAAAGACTACTGTGAAGCATAAGAACTTGAATCCTGAGTGGAATGAGGAATTTAATTTGGTTGTTAAAGATCCTGAGTCACAGGCTTTAGAGGTTTATGTTTATGACTGGGAGCAGGTATATATCTTGGGCAGTAAGTTTTCATTCTATAGTTGCTTGTTATGCATCTGATTCATGTTTCATTTGCACCTTTATTTTAGGTTGGGAAGCATGAAAAGATGGGTATGAATGTAATTCCATTAAAAGAACTTACTCCTGATGAGCCTAAAGAATTTACACTCGACCTTATGAAAAACATGGATGCCAATGATGTCCAAAATGAGAAATCACGTGGGCAGATTGTTGTGCAATTGACATATAAACCTTTCAAAGAGGATGAGATGTCCAAGGGTTTCGACGAGACACAAACTGTTGAAAAGGCGCCTGACGGGACTCCTGCTGGTGGTGGTCTGCTTGTAGTTGTGGTCCATGAAGCTCAAGAAGTTGAAGGAAAGCACCACACTAATCCACATGTAAGGATTCTTTTCAGAGGGGAGGAGAAAAAGACCAAGGTATGGTATGAATACTGAAAGCCGCTCATTTTTTCTGCCCCCTTTTTTGCTTGAGGCTTAAAAATTGAGCATGTTGTAGGTTATAACCATATTTTGAATCTTACAGTATTGGCTTCTGTTAGGTTTGTTTAAGACAGGTATTGACGTGGTTGGTGTGAACAAATGAATTTGCGAGTTTAACCTGTGATGCAAATTCATTCATTCTTCCTTCAACTTCATTTTGCTAAAATAGCTAAAAAAATAAAATTTGAATTTCAAGAAAGCTTGTTTCTTATTGAATGCATTGAGGAAAGTGATGGTTTGAAATTAGAACAGAATTTGATATGCCGAAAAGGATTGTTAGAAATAAATAATGGGATCCATTGGATGTAGGTGTCACAAACTCGTTGATTGATAAAGTAATTCTCTCCCGTTAGTAATGTTTGAGCATGACTTTTATGAAGATCATTGTTTGCTATTGAATACTGATACTGTGGTTACCATGACAGCATGTGAAAAAGAATAGAAATCCTAGATGGGGCGAAGAGTTCACATTTATGTTGGATGAGCCTCCCTCTAATGACAGATTACATGTGGAGGTTGTTAGCACCTCAGCACGCAACATACTGCATCCAAAGGTATGTAATCTGTACATTTTTGTAAATAGATATTTATCGTTGATTATTGCTAATATGAAAGTGCACTGTGAGACAATATTAGTTACACAGATTTTCGCTGTGATAATCTAATGTGAAGGTTTTGACAGGGAAGCCCCTTGAATTGTTGAAAGAACTGATAAACTTGTATGTCCAATCTGCACTAGCATTTAGCATCTTAAACAGAATATTTATATATTTTAGGATCATACTATAACTGATTTTATATTCCGACGACAACAACAACAACAAAAAGAATAAGTCTTATCCTACTAGGTGGGGTTTGCTAATGCCTATGAGATTGACGTCATAAATTCTGAGAAATGATCCTTTGATTTTGCCTTGATATGAGCTACTATCATCATAGTAATGGTATAGCTTTGCTCGAAAGCTATGCTATCATTTTGTTTTTGTCTTTTATGGCACTTGATGTGATCGAGTTTGATTTTTGCTCATCCCTTCGGCATTAGGAATATCTGGGTTATGTCGACATAAGTCTTGCGGACGTTGTTTCTAACAAGAGAATCAACGAAAAGTACCATCTTATAGATTCAAAAAATGGTCGCATCCAGATAGAGTTGCAGTGGAGAACCGCGTAAGCTGGCTGATAACAATCTTATATTTGTATACTTCCTCCCAAACCCACCTTTTTTTTTTATTTTATTTTGAAACTAGTTTCTCGTGTATTGGGAAGATGGAAGGAACTGAGGAGCGTTATTGAATTCTTTGCGTCTGGTAGATTGGTTTGTTTGTTTATCATATACATGCCTATATAAATAAAAATGCTGGTTTGAAAGCAAAAGGCACTTCTGTATAACTTCGATTGCTTATGGATGATCATTGAGTCGTGGATCTGCATGCATTTGTCTAGTCGCCTTAGTATTTCATTATCATCTTGTGTGAACTGTGATGACTTTCTACTTTGCAGCTTTAGCTTGGTTTGGTCTGTAGTGTTTGGTATAATGACAATGATTTGATGCCCACAGTAGTTCCTTTCAAAAGAAAAGCGAGTGCAGAACAGAGGCATTCTTTTTTGAACAAAGCATTCCAATGCTTTCTTTCTTTCTTTCTTTCTTTCTTTCTTTTTTTTTTGGGTTAAATTCCCTCACTATCATTCCAGGGAAAATTGAAATCGGTGAAAGAAATTTAGTCCCGTGTATCATTTAAATGTTTTATCCTTGTTTAACTAAATTATACAAATTTTAAAAAATTGTGCAAGGTTTGAAAAATGGTTCCTATAATTGGCTTGTATTGTATTTTCTATGCTTTATTGATGTTTTATTAACGTTGATTTTTTTAAAAAATTGGGCGAGGTTTGAAAAATGGTGGCTTGTAACGTATTTTCTATGGTTTACTGATGTTTTTATTAACGTTGATGTTAAAATTTTTATTTTATATTGATGTTGATGGTTCGTTTTATGTCTTTAACTATACGCTTGATATATTCTGGATGATTAATTTCTCAAATTTCGTATATGATAAAAACCCATAATTTGGTTGTAAAAAACATATAATTTGTCTTTAAAAGAACATAAAATTTGAGTAAATATTTTGTCATTTGTCATGTATCTTAGGTTCTAAATAGGTAGTGGTTTGATTTTTTTTTTTTTTTTTTTGCTTGTTTGGCGTTAATCTCTCTCTGGACTATCCGCATAGTGGTGGTTTGATTTTGAATCTTCATTAACGTAGATCTAACTTTGTCTTAAATATATGCTCCACATGTAGACATTCAAACTACACGTGTGTGTGTGTGGCGTGAATGAATAACACACATGAATACAATATTTAAATAAAAATAAAATAAGATATGCATTTTATTATTTTATTCAAAAAAAATTTGTTGGCGATTAAATTTTCATTATAAAAAGAAAATAATTCTTAATATTTATTTTTGACATGTTTGCCTTTTATGAAACAATCTTTTGGAATGAAGAATTATTAAAAAATGAACATTTGAGCTGGTATATATTTATTTTTTGTTATTTAGTTTTGCGTATGATGTTAATTAAGAATAGTTCCACTCATGAATATATAAATACATATGGAAATTTATTAGTAAAATAAATTGCTTATATATTCTTTACAATTTTTTTTTTCTTAAAATCAGTACTACCTACAGTGCATGATTTCAGTTTTGTGATTTTTTAAAATATGAAATTAAACTTAATTTAGATTTTCTAAATTATAAAATCTGTTGTTAACGATGATGACTTCCTTTACAACTTTGGTGCTAGTAAGGAATGCCCCTCAAGCCCGCACTTAGGAGAGTTTACAAGGATGGGTAAGATTGAGGCATTTCCATCTTGTTTTCTATCTGAAAAAAAAAGTTGAGATTAAATTTGAATTCATGTTTCATCTTATCTCAAAAATTATCTTGTCCTATTAAAAATTGAGATAGGAGCGAGACGTCATAGTGAAGTGAGCATGATAGAGAGACTTGAATAATAATATTTATTAAAATATTAAATCAAATAATTTTTTAAGTCTAAGAGTACATAAATCACAACTCAAACTCAATTATTAAGTTACATTAATTACAGTTACAAATTTACAACTTAGCTTATTCATTGTTACAAATTTACAAAGTTACATTAATCACAATCACTTGTAGATCTACAAGAGACTTAACAAGCAACAATGAACAAGCCAAAATCAACATCATTGTGTATATATGCAAGTATGATTTGTATATATAATCTGTTTTATCACACAAACAGATATCTATAAAAGTATGTGTTTGTGTATGTAATATGTTTATCATACCATACAAATAATAAAATCAACATTTTGATTAAATTTTTTTAAAAAATATAATTAGAACTCAGTGTATGTGTATCACATTTTTTGGGCAATTAGATCATGTTTTAGGAGTTTATAATATGTATTTGAGAGAGTCACATTAGCTGGAAAGAAAATAGTTTAACCAATAATAAAGCAATTTCTAAAAGTGGGAAGGCTTCTCTGTTTTATATTATAAGCCAAACAGCCAAAGGAAAAAAAAAACAGTTAAAAAAGTTTAGTTAAAAAGTTTCCACTTGACCCGTGGGTCGAAACTCCAACTGCATAAACATCAAAAATCCAGCATGGCCATATCTACAGTAAATGAACAGTCTCCATCTATTGCTTTTATTAACGTGCTCCAGGACATTACGTGCTCTAGTTCTTTCACGCTACCTTTTGGTTTCATTTATGTAAATATTTAATAATTACTTTATTGTCTTTCTTTTTTGTTATAGGCTTTTAAAATTTAAAAATTGTCTTTGGGGGCGCTCGCAGCACGCATGTGCTTACCTTGGGGAAAATTTAAATGCTCGTCCTTTCACGATTACTGCTTTCGGGGTTCGCGTGACGTGAGGTAATTGCCGCAAGAACAAGAATATTGGAATCCGCTGGCTGTTTTCTTTTTTGGGGTTGCCTGGAGTGGATATTTGGCAATGCTTGGTGTCGGATCCGGCGAACATCGTGGTTGTTATTGGTGCTTTCCCCTTTGTTATCTTTCCCTGCTGTGGTTTGGGGTTTTTTTTTTAATTTTTTTTTGTTTGTTTTGTTGTTTCCCGGCTCATGGTGTTTTCCTCGTGTGTTTCCCATTTCAGGTTCTGGTTTCCTGAGGGTGATCGTGGTGGATTCTGCAGGATGTTGTTCTTCTGTTATGGGTAATGGATGTCGCTATATTTGGTTGTTGCGTTTTGGATGAGTTTTGCATTGTTCTTTCGTGTGATTAAGCTTGTTCTTTAAAAAAGTTTATTTTTTATTGACTATCTATTAAGTGTTTTTTATTATTTTGTTTCCTTCTAATTCACTATATAAACAGCATTCAAGACTCAATAGTGAAGAATGAGGAGTGAAGGCTGAACGTTAAACTTAAAATACTAAAATATAAAATAAAAAAATATATTTTATATACAGGATGGGATAGGATGTCTTGTCATTTTAAAAAGTCTTGTGCTTAATTTTTGTTTAAACCAGGATAAAGCCACCTCAATATGGTTAAGAGGAGAATGGATTAATTGGAATTGATACAACATTGAATACTAGAATTGGAAGACGGGTGGGGTGGCCTTTAAGTGTTTGAACTTTTAAGTTTGATTTTTTTAAAATATTTTATTTTTTAAAATTTAACCTTTATATAAAGGATTTAAGGTTAGGTTCGTAAGCCTTTATTATTTTTTTTTATTTTTTTAATTTATAAAAATTAAAATTTTAATTATAATATTTCATATATTTTTTAAAAATATAAATTATAATATTTAAAATTAAAAATAAATAATATAAATTATAATTGTAAAATATAAACATATATTTTAAAGTTTAAATTTAATTTAAAATTAAATATGCTTTATGTTTTAAGGGAAAAACAAAAACGGGTTTAAAAGGGTTGTTTAAGCCTGTTTTTCAAAGCGTATTAGGGTTGAATTTAAAAGCTCAATTTTTTTAAAAATATTATGTTTTTAAGGTTAAATTTTTATAAAAATAAATTTAAACGGATGGCTCTCTAAATTTAATCTTTATTCTCAACTCTATTAAATACCCTTGTGCTCACCCATCATCTGGGCTTTTGCAAGTCTCTCAACCACGTCCAACGCTTGCGCTGCCCTGCAGAATAACAGCGTCACTCTTTCTTGTTGCTCTCTCCAAAAAAAAAAAAAAACAAAAAAACAAAAAAAACAAAAGGCTGTCTTGCGGATATTTTTATTATTTTATTTCTCCCTAACAATAGTCCAAATACACATGATTAGATTGGTTGTGTTGCTCATCTTTCATATCTAAACTTTTTAATTTTCATGAAAAAAAAAAATCTAAGATCCAACTTGTTAAGTCCATGAAATAGGTCTGCAGACATACGTTAACTAAAAAGTACACACTTTTTATTTAGTTAAGCACTCGTTAATTTTATTAGTTCACTTATTGAATGAGTTAAATTCGATCATAAGTTCAAAGCTCAGATTCAAATCACGACTCGCTCTCGCGGCAGGAAATGTTCAGATTTTTCCGAGGTGGTTTACTGAAGAAAAAGAGGAGCATGTGAGAAATATCAAATATGTCACCCAGGTTTTTGACACGTAGAGATCTCATGTGGACCAAGAAGAGGACGGCCGCATGAGAGCGCGACCCGCGGGCTATCCTATCCTCTCATCGCAACGCAAACTACAGGTCTTTCTTTGCTCGTAACCATTTTGTTTGCTTCTGCCCTGCCAATTAAAGTCCTCACTCCGCTCTCTCTTATTCAACGGTTTCTGCTCATTTCCATTTTCCACCAGAGGCATCAGATTTCCCAATGGCGTTTCCCGTGGTGGACACTGAATATCTCAAAGAGATCGATAAGGCTCGCCGCGATCTTCGTGCTCTCATCGCCAGCAGGAACTGCGCTCCTATCATGCTTCGTTTGGCGTAACTTACCCCCCTCCCTTTATTGACTCTTCCGTAAATTTTCTATACACTGATTAAACTGAATGGAGTATTCGGATTTAATAATCACCTGAGCTTCATCCGTAGTCAACGGAACTGCTGTGGATAATCCAATTCTCGATTACTCTTTTATGGCTTTTCCAGCAGTTCTTAAACATGTACTTTATCATCTTTATTATCGTATAATTATCTGATCTTTCTGTTCACTTTATCTGTGTGCTTGTGTAGTTGGCACGATGCAGGAACTTATGATGCCAAGACGAAGACGGGTGGGCCTAATGGCTCCATAAGGAACGAGGAAGAGTATTCACATGGCTCCAATAGTGGCCTGAAGAAGGCTATTGACTTCTGTGGTAAGTTTTACTCTCATACGTGACAGAACACTGGCATACGCATATGCATTTTTCTGGATATTTTTTTTTTGGACCGAGCATTTTTGTGGATATATTTCATTAATTTGTGACTATGACACTCTCTGGTTTATGGATCTAATTTTTCAAATATAAGGATACTGACGATGTCGTATTTAACGTGTCTGCCTGAGACAGTAACCGTAACTAGGAAAATCTTGTTCTAGTTGGTGGGTTTACGCAGAACTGTAGTTATAAATTTACAAATCCAATTCTAAACTTAAAGGTTGTCATGGCTTGTGTCAATGTAGAATCTATTCCACTATGCTGCATATGGCGATTTTCCCTCATTTTTCTCCTTATTTTCTGATGGCAGAGGAAGTGAAGGCCAAGCGTCCTAGGATAACGTATGCAGACCTATACCAGGTGATTATTATTTTCACTAGACCATAATGTAAATCTATGCTCGTGTAAATACTTTATTCATATGCCAGAAGAATGAACTTAGTTTTTGTTTTTTGTAAAGTGTAGAGTGGACTTTGCATTTAGTTGATCTTTGCATTATCTTACTAGAATTATCACATTCTTGTTGATGTTAGGTGCAGGGTTTTATTTTCTTCCCCTTGCAATCCCAATAATTGCTTTTGTTCAAAGTCTGTGATTCCCAAATCTCAACTTGTATCGCCCAGGTTCTTGTTTGGTGTTCAGATGCAATCAATCAATCCATTTCATGTTCGTATTTTCCATCTTGATCATTGTTAATATTAGGTACATGGATTCAGTTTGAATGTACAGATTTAGTGTGATATATGATGTGATATCTGAAGTGATGCCCTGGTATCCTTATTCTGTCAGGTTTTTATGAGGGGTAAGCTTATGATGTAAAGGCTGCATGCATCCCTTCCTCATTAACTCTGACAACTCTAAAGCCGTTTTCGTCTCATCATATTAATTTGAAAATGGCTATTCTGTCTTTGTCTAAGGTGTGCTTTTTGAAAGTTATGATAAAGTTGTCTTAGAATGTGCTTTAAATTTGGATGAACGGTCTATATAATTATAAACCCTTCGAAGGGACAATCTTGATTTCTTCAATATTCTGGAGCATATTTTCTCGACTATTCATTGGTTAGTTATTCCATGAGATCCGAGAGTGCAACAATTAGTGCTTTCTGAAAATTATACCGACGGCGGGCGGAAGAAAGATGAACGAGGGCATAGGGATAAAATAAGTTTCTTCACCTCCTAGCGGGTTTATAACTCTGGCCTGAATGGTCAAACACACTTCCATGAAGGTTGATAGTTGAATTGAAAACGTGTTCTAGGCACTGCTTTTTTTTTTTTTTTTGGGGGGGGGGGGGGAAAGAGTACTGCTGCTTTTAACTTCAAAAATACACATTTTACATCTCTCTCTCTCTCTCTCTCTCTCGCCTAAATCATACTTATAGGGGCCTTAGATTATTTATAATTTTATTTCTAATTGTACTCATTGAGCTGGGCGGAGCCAGAAACAGTGGTGATTTTTTTTTTGGCCTGGCCCACGTAGCCAGTTACTGCCGGGCCAACCCAACCTTTCAGTTTATGTGCAGCTTGGCAGCGGGTGTTGTTACTTGTTAATTGCATAGATCCTGTGCCCTATGCAAAGCAAGATTTGTGTTCATAAGTAAATAATTGAGCACGTGCCATGCAAGTTATGTAAATATGAAGGAACACAATGGTTATTTCTTGCTCCTTGTGCTCCCAGCTCGCTGGTGTTGTTGCAGTTGAGGTTACCGGAGGTCCCACAATTGACTTTGTTCCTGGGAGAAGGGTATGTTTTGGCATTTATTTAGAATTTTAGTAATGGTATCATGTGTTTCTTGTTAATATACGTCAATGTTTATCCCTCTTGAAGGATTCAAATATATGTCCCAGAGAAGGACGTCTTCCTGATGCTAAACAAGGTGAGTTCATCATTCTTTGTGTGTGCTCCACCTTTCCTTGTCTTTTCTTCCTAGAGCTGAAAAATTTGTTGCTTAATATTTAATTGTAAGGTTGTTACATGATTTGATGAGTTTGAATGCTATAAGATTGAATATGAACATGTGAATGCTACTGGTAGGTGCACCTCATCTCCGTGATATCTTTTATCGAATGGGCCTGTCTGACAAGGATATTGTTGCATTGTCTGGGGGGCACACTCTGGTAAATCTCCTTTTTTTGTCCTCCTTATTTTATCCTCGTTTGACTTTCTGTGGTTATCACCAGACATTCTTAGTTCATTTGCTCTGGTATTACTAGGGAAGGGCACATCCAGAGAGATCAGGGTTCGATGGTCCTTGGACAGAGGAACCTCTGAAGTTTGATAACTCATACTTTGTGTAAGATTTGAGCTGCTTGCAAAGTTCTCACATTTGACCCCTTCATGGAAATTTGTAGAGCATGAAATTGTCTCAGTTAAACCTTGTTGTTTGTATCAGGGAACTGTTAAAAGGAGATTCTGAGGGGCTACTCAAACTTCCAACAGACAAAGCATTATTGGAGGATCCTGGGTTTCGTCGTTATGTTGAGATTTATGCAAGGGTAACTGGAATATCTTTAATCCAAATGACCATTGTTTGAATTTCTTTCTGCAATACTGATGATGCCATGTGCAAGCAATTTGTTTTTTTCTTTTCAAAGCAGCACCCCTTTAAGTCTACTTATTTACAATATATTGGGCATGAAGCTGTTGACTTTCCATCGGTTAATCTTTAGGTCTGATGCAGTTGCGTTCAGTAATAGTTTGTTATGATAAGCGTTACACTAACGATAGTACATGGTCTTTTTTGCTATCTGTGCCATTTTGATGTTGTAGATAATAGATTATTATTCTTCCTTACACAAATTGATTGGCAAGTCTGCTAGATCAATTTTCTTTGTTGATATGTGACCACTTCTATCAGTTCCTCTCCTTTTTTTTTTTCGGCTCAAGTTCCTCTCCATTTATCTTTCCTATTAGGCCTTTTTTTCCCTTTTCGTTTGGACGTGTTTTTGGCGCCACTTTTTCCAACTAGGCATTAACCGATGCGGTTCAAGTAAATCTTACTTTTGCCTTCTTCAGTACATGCTTTCCTCGTCTTTTTTTCTTTCTTCTTTTTCCTCTTCTGGTCTTCCAGTCCTCAGCTTCATACTCAACCCTAGAGAGTTGAACTTCCACTCGGAACTGAATAACACGAGGCAATTAGCACCAACTGTCGTCTACTTGACTAACTAACCGGGAACGTGCATGGGGATTTTGGAGCAAAGTCGTCTTTCTGAGATAGTGCATAACTAGTTGTTGTTTTTTTTTTTTTTTCATTTTGTATTTGTTTTCATATTTACGCTCTATTTCTCTGCCAGGACGAGGATGCATTTTTCAGAGACTATGCTGAATCGCATAAGAAGCTTTCAGAGCAAGGGTTTGTAGCAAGTTCAAAGCCAAAAATCAAGGATGGCATAATACTGGCACAAAGCGCTGTTGGAGTTGCTGTCACTGCTGCTGTGGTGATCCTCGGATACTTGTATGAAGTTCGCAAGAGAGCGAAGTAGGCTTAGCTTTGTTGATCTGTCTTGGATTCGACGTACATGTGACCCATAACATAATATGGGCATTATTGGGTTCGTTCATGAACTTCTATTGCTGCTGGGTAGTGCATACTTGTTTTCATTGCCAACTAGAATAATATAACAGCTGTTCTGAGTATATGAAGAGACAAACAATAGAGTCTTCAGAAGATTATATTCATGTTAGTAGTTGGTGCGAGTGAATCAGTATAAAGAAATCTTTTTTATGGGATGCCCCAAGAGGGACATTGCAAAGAAAATTCTTTCGTAGTGTGAAAGTCATACTGAGCAAGGGAAATTATTGATGACCACGCCGTGCACCTTATGAATTGTCATTATAGGGACATAAATACGGATCCTTTATTCCTTACATCTGCAGCTCAACTATGAGCTCCTCCTCCATAGGGTAAATCAATCAGGAACAAATTTTTGTGGGTAATATTATGAAGAGCTCAACCCCTTTTGTGAAGTCAATTATGTTCTTTCAACATCAATTCCTTTTTTCAGATCTATTATTAAGAAATCATGTTTGTCATATTAATATATTTAAGTGGTACGAGGATAGGTTCTCAGGGTCTAAAATATTACAGCACGTGCAACCAAACAGTGAGAGGATACACATAAATAGAGAATAGGCCTCAGGTGTTCGCATGTGCTGAAGACTGTGAGGGCAGATTGAGGAGCAGGACTATATAGATGATTATATTGATTGAGATTTTGGCATCGAGAACAGCTGCACGCACCCTACATTTTGTACTCTTGGGCATAAAAATTATTATCATCTTGTAAAAGATGTTAAATTGATGTGAGGGTTCGCATTACACAAAACACGAGAGAGCGTGCTTTTTGATGACAACTAGTAGCTGAAATGAAACGAGTCCGCGTGCCTATAAAATAGATTTGATGAGTAATAAATTCAAGTGGCCTTGATGAGATGGCCACCCATAGGTTGGTGGACATCATCATGTTGTAATTAAAAGGAAAACAAATACCTAAATAGAAACGTGTGGGAAGAGGTTGAGAACTGGAGATATATCTGCTGTTGTTGTGTGTCAATTAAGATACCGAAGTGCGTGAGGGGAATGGTGATGTGGAGGAGGACAGGGGAAAGGGAAGTAGGTAGGTAGGGGTTGTTTGGTTGGACAGCCTCCCAAGTGCCACTGTGTCCAGGCAAATCCTACGCCAATACTTCCCCTCTAGCCTTCCCATTTGGTAGATTGCAACTATTGAGTAGGCATGTTTAACTTATCATGTTAGTTGTGTATTTAATTTTTGGTGATCAAGATGGTGGTGCACATGACAGTTAGGTATTATTGATTTATTTCGATTTCTTTTACCGTTTTTGAATTAGTGTTTAATTTTTTTCCTTGACGAATTGAGCCATACAAAAATCAACCAATCAAAATTATACATTTTGCTGATTAATGATAATATATTTATGAATGTAATTCATAAATGACATGATAATCGGTAGTTGCTACCTAGCAGCCCAAAAAGAGGGAGTATTTGGTGCATTGTATCCTAATGGGGAGTGCTCTTCCTTCATTTGGTAATGTAGGCTAACCAGCGGTAATAATTGCATTTGCAACTCAACAGACTGGGACCAAACGGGTGATGCTAATTTGAATGAAGAGTGTTCCTAGTTATATGTATATTCCATCCACCTCTTACTTAATGTGGATAATTTTAATGGTATTATAATTGTATGCCCATATAATTTCATGTTTTATTAATTTGGCGTCCTATAAAGAAAGATTTACGGGGCAATAAATGTTGAAACAAATAGGACTTTAGCTCTCAAGCCCAACATAACATATACACCTAAGCCTATTAGATCACCTGGCTTACTTATTGGACCTTAGATTAGTTAGTAGTGGCCTCATTTATTGCTATGAAAAATTTGTTTGTTTTTACCTCTACTAGGTGGCTTATTCTTTATACCTAGGGTTTAATGCCTTAACTATAAATAGTAATAAGATGAGAGAGGCTAGTACGCTATCAAGTTATACAAAGCATCTTTTTCAAAATATTTTCCACAAAATATAAATATGTGAAGATTGGGTAGTATCATGCTCAAACTCATACTAGGACTAGCTGGTTTATTCATTCTCCTCAAAAAGCTACACCTATTGCTTTAAATCATGCCATACATATTCTTATGACATGAGAGCTAAGCTTTAAAGGAGAGTAGGATTGTACGAGTAGAATTACCATGAGAGTGTTTGAGGGTAGTGAAAAAGTTGATCAAATATATTGTTTTCTTTTATAGGCTATCATGTTTGAAAGCAACTTATACACCCATCCTTTTAGTTCTTGTAACATCCTAAAAATTTAAACCCGATTAACTAAACTTAATGAAGGTAATTAAACTATTAATGTGGTGTATGATCAGAGAGGTCTAATATATAATTGATTGTGATTTCAGCCTTAAATATGGGTCCAAAGTGAAGTTAGGCCATCTGGGTATCAAAAGGTAAGAAAAAATTGAAGGAAGGTCCTATGTACCATATACAGCAGTGTGAGGAATGTTCACCGTTATGCACGAAGGCAACCAACAAAGGTGGGCCTCTCTATGCCATGTGCCACAGTGTAGGCTGTGTGCATCACGGTGCACAATTAAAATTCTAGTTAAATTAGTTCGTGTCTATTCAAAAAATCAAAAGAAAAAAGAGGGAGGAACGAAGAGCACACCAATAATTCTATTAGGGCTGAACTTAGAGACCATTAGAGACATTTTGAAACTTTCTAACACACAAGGTAAGTACATTAAGCCTCCCTCTTCCCTTTCCTTCCACTTTCATGAAGGTTAAAGTTAGGGTTTGAGTTGAGAGAGTGATTTTTGGTCTATATGATTTATGGGTCCAAACCTATTGACTAAAATGAATATAATAAAAATTGTTTAGAGTATTTAAACCCCATATTTATGATTTTATGAGTTGTTGTTAAGGGCCATTAATATCCAAAAATGGTAATAAATAAGGTTATTTAGAGTGTTTAATGGCCATTAATGGTAGTTTAGTGGCTCATTGATAACAATGTGAGTTGTTGGGACCTATTAAACCCATTAGGTATGATTGGGGGAGAGTTTATGATGTTGATGAAATGAGAATGTGGAGTTAAACATTGGGAAAATTGCTTAAAGAGGGATATTAATGAATGTCCTTGTGATTGGTTGTAGATTGTCTAATTTTGTCACCACTCAAGCGAATTTGGAAGCTTTGGAAGCATATGTTTTGAGGGGTAAACTTTGAGCTCTCAAAGGTTTGAGGTAATAGAAAAAAATTTTATTCGTATTGTTATATGTTAATTATTTATTAGTGATTTAAATCATTTAAAAATTATTTGAATGCTTGTGAATCCTTTGATGCAAATTTGGCAATGTGTGAAATTGTTTTGATGTAGAAAATAGTGTGCATATTTCTACTTATGTAATTGATAAAGGATATGTGATATTTGACATATAGAGAATTGGGAATGTGTGACATTTGGCATGAGGAGAATAATGGATAGTAGATGTGATACGATGTTAGTAATAGTGTTAACATGACATAATAAGTGTCCATATTTGCATAACATGATCATTGACTGGAGTTTTGTCAAGTGACTCAATGGCACCAAGTTCAGCCTCAACTTTGTTATGTAGGAGAGGTTGGAGGATTGAACCTGGGGAGGCTCTCTGCAAGGAGAATAATCCGCACACTACTGCGAGGAAGCCTTTGTCTCCTAATGATCACCGTAAGGGGTGGGTTCGCCCTGTTGTGGGGCCTGGGAGAGAGTGTCCAACGCCGCAAAAGACCTCGGGGAGGTGGGGTGAGCGGAGGGCTGTTACAACTCGAATCTAACTAATCTCCACTGGTTCATAAGGAGTTAAGATTAGGAGTATGATATCCCATAATTGTTAGTATTGGGGGAAACCACGATACACAAGTGAGTGAGTTAACTTTGGCCCGGTAGCTCCTCACAAGTGGAAGGTCAGGTTAGTTCAAGTTGCGGCCGTAGCCATTAATAGCTACCGATTTCATGTCGAAGGTAATAGGAGGATATAAAGTTGGCATTAATCATGCATTTAGTTCTAGCCATATGACTATTATTATTATGGTTCAGTTTGTATTAGGGGCGCATAGTTATTATTTTTGTGACCCCAGAATGTGCATAATTGTGATATATTCAATGTTAATTGTTGTGCGCTCAGTTATTTGGTTGCTTTGATTGTGGATGAGGCTATACTTGATTTATGAGAATGTGATGTTGGAGATTATTTTCATTTGCATCTATATGTAATTGATATGCAACTGTATAAGCTAGATTAACTTTGATTATTAAGTGATTATACTCATTCCTCATTATTCAATATTTTAGGATCTAGCTCATCGGACTAAGATCAAGAAAAATGACTAGAGGTATAAGATTTTAATTAAATCCTACTCGTAGGCCTCTTAATTTTAAATTCTGCATATCAAGCATTGCTAATTTGTCAACTAAGATTTTATTCCATTATTTTATCTACTTGCATTATAATTGAAAATATTTTGTACTTTTCGTGCCCTAAGATAGTGATATGTGGTTGTAAAACTTACACAGGGCTAAAATACTAGTACAAGTAGGGTAAAGTGTAATTGGATTGTTTTTGAATGGATATTAATAATTTTATGCAAGTTATCTCCTTCTTCTTGTTTTTGTAAATCAAGGGGTTGAGTAGTAAATTTATGATATATGCATATTGATCTAGTTGTTGTGTGTTGCACGAGTCTAAAATGGTCCATTGAATGTGGTCTAAGGGATGGTGTAGACTTTTGGCACTGGTATTAGAGTTTAGACACCCTAGATGCGAGCTAATGTGAAATAGGAGTAAGATTTGCATTGGATGTCCAACTTTTTGTAAAAAAAAATAATTTGATCATAAAACTTATATCATTAGCTAGAGTTAGGAGAAATCTCTATATATACATGTGGATCACCTCAATCGAACATCGAATAGAGATTTCAAATACGTTAGAAGTTCGTCCCGGGTGCTGTCATATGGTAGCAAAATTTGCTATCAAATTCGTGTAATGCGCCGCAGCAAATGGTGCCTCACATCATGATGCATGGCATAGAGACAACGCGTCGTGGTGCATGTGCCATTTTGGCAGAAAAAGGAAATTCTTTTTTTTTTTTTTTGCAAATGCTTTTACCTATTTTGAAATCCCATGTTTTCACACACATTTTAATCTTTGATTTACAAATGTTTAATGGTTTATGAGAATATTTTGAACATTAAAAACTTGGGATTTCATTTTTATAATTAGATAAACTTGATAATTCTTGTTGGGTTTAAATCCTCGATTACCTCGTACTTGGTAGTTAATTGTGTTTAAGTAAGCATATTTAAGAGCTCCTGTCTTATTAGTCTCATACCATCCAATTGGGGAAGCTTAGATTCTTTTTTTATTTTGTGGTAATTAGGGAAGGTTAGATTCTGAATGCGCACACATATGTGTGTGTAAGTGTCAATATAAATATTATAGAGAAAATTAATAAGGGTTAAGTCTAGTGGAAAAGGGTTAATCCCTCATAACATGAAAAATTAAGATTCAAGTCCCATTAGGAGAGGCACCCACAAATAATGCCTGATAATTCCTTCAACAAGATTGCTTCCAATACACCGATACCTGTGAAAAACCAAAAAAATATAAATATCACAAAGAAGAAAACAATAAGGTGAATGAAGCTATCCAATATCATGGTACAAAAAACCAAACCAAGTTGACAAGTTGGACAGGTAATCAAGCCAGTTTGGTTGACCTAAATCAGGAAGGCTATAAACCAGATTAACCTGGTCAACTCAATAGATTAATGGGGTTAACCTGCTAATTTACTTTTATTATTATTTTTCCTTTCCTTTTCTCCATTTCCTCTTTTAAACATTATTGAACCCTAAATCAAATCTAAATCTTTTGAATAATATTTTTAATGTTGTATTTTATTATTGTCAAAAAATTATAATTAATATTTGTATAAGATTTTATGGATGAATTTTTTATTTACTTGAGAATTTAGGGCTTCTTTATTTCACTATTATTATTGTCATAGTTAAATATGAATATTTTTATATATTTAAATTAAAATATCTTATTTTATTCATGACCTATCTGATCTTGGGTTGATCCCTGATTGGATTTTTAGCTCTTAAACCATTACCTTAATTGGTTCATCTAATTTTCAGAAGTGTGGCCAATTTCACAAACCTTCCTCTTGATGCCTTGCCTAAACTTGCACCACAAAGGCCAGAGAAAGACATGAGAAGTGAAAAGTGAATAATTTAGATTTCCTCTGCTTAAAGAGAGAATATTTTTAACAAATTAAATTAAGACCGCTTTCAGGATATTTATTCAAAGTTGAGAAAATCCTCAAAACAATATCCCTGCTACGACTTTTATACCCAGGAGAACTGATATGCAAGGTTTGAATGCCTGTCAATATATTTCTCATAATTTTTTATGAAAATATTATTATCTCGGAGAAATTACTAACTGTAATTTTAGTATGAAGTATTTAAAAAAGTAAACTCCAAAACCTGTTCCTATTCTTACCTTGAACCAAATCTCTAGTCCTTCTAGAAACTCTTCGGCCTGTCTCTCGCACGATAATGAAGCAATGGAATAAAGAACCACAACTACCATTGCCATCCCTGTACTTGGCCACATGAGCAGCCCAATTTACCCTCACATTTCTTTCAGGGATGTCCACCACAACTACCTCACTGAAATAACTGATTTTAATACCATTACCATTACCACATCTCTAAGTAATTTATGTTTTTCAGTCTGATTCTCCACCCTGATAGGATCCGGACCTCACAAGGAAGCTGATCTCTTTTGTGGTAGGTACTCCATAATCATTTCCGTCCTAACCACTCCTGTTACCAATCCGAAAATTCATTATCAGCCTAATCATATCAAAATTATGTCTTGATTGTTTTTAATGACTGCTTGAGGGCAAAATGAAAAACACTCTCGTGAAGTTGGGCATAACTAACTTTTAATTTGTTTCAACATATCATCCTGCAGAATTATACATACCGTATGATTCTGCACAAATAAATGAACAGAACAGGCCCGCAATACAAGTCTCAGAATTGTAGAGAATTAAATGAGGGAATAAGAAAGAAGGGCAAGGGAGGCAGGAGCAGAGATGACTCACATCTTGTCTAGGCTTGCCCTGTTGCCCATACTTAAAATACATCATACTTTACACCTACCTAAAGGGTACCCATAATTAATGCTCTTTTAAACATAATGAATAATTGATGCTGATATATCTTGTATTTTGGATCGCCCACTCCCTCAATACCTGTCCGACCTACTAAATCTCTCCCCCGTTCTGTGGGTCAAAAGCCTCGTATATAAAGCTCCTCCTGCGAGGGCAGGCCTTTGTGTTGCAGGTTGCAGAAGCCACGCCAGCATGGGAAGGTCTCCTTGCTGCGAGAAAGCTCACACCAACAAAGGAGCATGGACCAAGGAAGAAGACGACCGTCTCGTCGCTTATATTCGAGCTCACGGCGAGGGCTGCTGGCGCTCTCTCCCCAAAGCCGCTGGCCTCCTCCGTTGTGGCAAGAGCTGCCGTCTCCGCTGGATCAACTACCTCCGTCCCGACCTTAAACGCGGAAATTTTACCGAACAAGAGGATGAGCTCATCATCAAGCTCCACAGTCTCCTCGGCAACAAGTAAGCTCCCGACTCATTTTCTTGACGTGGATGACACGTAACTCATATCGTCTTGAAATCTGTATGTCAATCTTTGAGGTGATTCACTGGCTAAAACCTCCAACTTTCAACGACACGGCCCATCAGTGGATAAGCTAATTAACCACTTAAAATGTGAGCTGAGATAGAAATTATTAGGGTGATACATGCCACCGACCAACTGACTCGGTTTCTGGGGTGCGATTAATATGAGTGCAGGTGGTCGCTGATAGCTGGGAGATTACAAGGAAGAACGGACAACGAAATAAAGAATTACTGGAACACTCATATAAAAAGGAAGCTTCTGAGCAGAGGAATTGACCCCGCAACTCACAGGCCTCTCAACGAGGCTTCTCAGAACCAATCTCTTGCCCCGTCTGCTTCTGCTGCTAAACAGCAAGAGTCGGATCGGGTTCCGATGACGGGTGCGAATTCCGAACGACCCGGCGTCTTAGAAGTGTGCCCCGATCTGAACCTTGAGCTGACCATCAGTCTTCCCCATCATCATCGTAATCAGAAGCAACCAGATCGGCCATCGCTCAACAGTAGTGGGAGCAATAGTGGAAGCAGCTCGGATGGCGATGGTTATGATTTCTTGGGATTGAAAAGCGGTGTTTTGGATTGCAGGAGCAGCATGACCCAAATAGATTGGAGAGCACTCAGAGAATGATTTATGCGTGTATCCACCTTAAAGCTTCCTCTTCTTTCTTTAATTGTATAATTTGTTAATTACGGATGCATAAGTATCAGGGCATTTTGATCCTCTCTAATAGTATGCATCTTAACAATGAGGTTTTTTTTTAATAAAAGAAAAAAGAAAAAACAATCTTGATATTCATTGAGTTTTTCCTGTTTTTTAATTAATTAGCAAGCAATTACTCCACTGGTGGCGCAATTTCTGAGGAATCTGCGTATGGTCCAGGCGGGGCAACCATTTGTTTTGCTGGATTTGATGCTGATGGTGTTTGTCAGCATCTTTGTGGAGACCTGCGAGGTTACTGTTTATGTAAAGAACCGAAATAATTAAAAAGGGATGTGGATGGATATTCATGCAAAAGCCAATTGATAAGTGGGAGACAGCTCCATCTTAATTCATATATTCACAAACACAAGAGTGGCTAAAGTGCGTGAATGAACTGACCTACACACACACACACACACACACACACACATATTTCTTATTAATCCCTGGATATTATTCTACCAACCTCCTGCCATTAAATGATTTTTATAGGTCATGTCCTAACTAACTTCATTATTATTATTATTTTTGTTTTTGTTTTTGTGTGTGTGTAGAAAAGACCTAGATTCTGGTACCATAATCCACTAATATTATATATATCGCCCCTTAAACAACCGTGTTTTTTTTTTCAACCTACAAACATGTATTCCGTGAATTTTGCGTTCACAAGAAGATAATGTTTTTTATCTCCCCCTCTCCCTCCTTCTCTATATGTGTCATTCCAATCACGTGTGTTAGATATCATTCCAATCAAAGGCGATTTATAAAAATGTATGTGGAATACTAAGCAAATGATATCAACATATTCATATTTTAATCTGCAGGGATGATATGCATAAACTAATAACGCGCACAGCCCTCTGTAGAGCTCGCGCGGATTTACCAAGGTAAAGTGGGTTATTGGTTTCCAAATTATATGACTATCGATAATAAACCTTGCCCTTTAATTAGAAATAAAGAAATAAAGAAAGTCTTCAGATGAGGGTCCACTATAAGCCTTTACAGGATCAGAAAAGTTGACAAAGTAGAAGGGTGGGCTGATTATCAGGAGAATAATGAAGGATATCTTCAACTTAAAAATAAAAAATCCATTGACCCATAAGTCATGTGCATGTGACAATGAGAGTTTACAGTACCCAAAAAAAAAAACTTTAGTGGCGATTTAAATGAACATCTACAAAATATAATAATTGTAACAGTTTTAATCTAAACCACTACCATATTGTAATGGTTTGACCCTAATAAAGACATAGTGACCGTTATAGTAACGGTTTGACCCTAGTTTTTTGACAAAAGACATATTGACCATTGTAGTAGCAGTTTATCAAATAAAAACCGCTACTAATGTGATAGTTGTTTTCTCAAACTGGTACTATAGAATGCGCCAAATGGCACAAAAACTTTGCAACGGTTGGGATGGCAAAAACGATATTAGTAATGGCTGTTGACCCAAGCCATTGCCAAGTTACCTTGAGTAATGGATAGTTAAAAGGATAGTAGTTTTTATAGCGATTCTCCAAAAAATTGCTACCATTTTAAAATTACATTAATAACTGCCTAACTTGTTGAGTTTTTGTTAAGGTCTACAATGGTTTGGGTAGTGATTCCTAACGAAACCTCTACTAAGTTGTAGTATTTGTCGTAGCAATTCTCTCCAAAACCACTACGATCAGCACATTTATTTAAACCTTCACCCTCCACATTTTTTGGCTTTTGGAAAAATTTCCTCTCACCTCTGCATTTTAAATCTCTTGCACGCACTTGTTAAGAATGTTTTTTTAGATATTTTCCCTCTTGCTACTGGTTTCAACTTGTTATATATTTAATGACAATATTATGAAGAAGAAGCATCAGAAAGAGGGTGCTGAGGATGATTCTAGGACTTAAAACCCCTAGGGGTGGTGGTTCCCTAATGTCCTTATCAATTTCTAGACTGAGAGATATCTAAGTCTCATGGGACCAACAATTAGACTAGCATGTAGATGAATGGCTATAAAGTTATGATACAAGGTAATTTTTTATTTAAAGTTTATTACTTATATTTATTTAATTTTTAATTTAATTTATTTTTTAAATTAATTTGTTAATTTAAATATTTTCAAAGCCCAATGGCAATACCTATAAGAGAAAAGTGCAGGAGTGAGACATTTAGACCATGCCTAAAGGTCATTAGATATTGAAAACATGGAATGCAGCTAGGCAGCTAATCACTCAATTAGGACAACTCTACAATATTTTTCTAGTGGGACTTGAAAAAAGATATAATGTTTTTCCCATTACTCGGAGGAGGGTTAGAAAGCAATTGAAGGAGGAGACTTGGGAATAGGTCATGAAGGGGATTTTTATTTAATATACTTTTAAATTTTAGTCCATTATATTAATATATTTATTTATATTTATTTTATGTTTGTTAATAATATTAATTATTAATTATATTTATATTTTTGTAGTAAAAATTTGTTGTGATAGATGACCAAAAGGTCTACTCAATTTCTAGGATATGGACTAGATGGAAGAACGATATAAATAGCCTATTTTGAAAGTATAACGAGGAGGGGATAAAGACAACAGATGAGTTGGCAACAAATAGCCCTCTTAAAGTGAATCGCAGTGATTAGGATAAATTTATCAGGTGGTGTTATCCTTCTGCTCAACAAGTAAATTTATCAGATTGGGTATTACCTCAGCCAACTTCTCTCAACTAATTCACATTGGTGAACATGAAGATGATGAGCCTTATATGTTTGCTTTAGAGGCACAACAAGTTTATTATGTTGAAGATGAAAAATATAAAGACTAGAATATGGTTGTTTATTTTAAAGCCTTGAGATTTTTATGATATGGGTGATGACGGTGCTAATGTCATAAATGACAATGAAAAATTTCAATTAGATGACTTACAAAATTTCTCTCCCAAAGGAGATGATCATTTACCGTTAGTCAAGTAAAATTCTATTTTTCAAGTTACTATATGTAAAAAATAATTTATTTTATTTATATAATAATTACAGGAATTGGGATGAAGAGTGATGCAAATAGAAGCCAAATAATTTCATTTAATGTTTAGTAGTGTATTTTAAGTTTATTAAAAGTATTAAAGTTTTAGTAAATATTAATGAAATGGTGGAAAAATTAATTTTTAATTATTCGCAGCGATTTACCAAAAGAAACCACTACAAATTAAGACGACAGTAGCAGTTCTTTGTACAAACCGCTACAAAATGCAACAGAAACCCATAAACTGCTATGCCACTTGCTAAGCAAATCACTACAGCTACCGTTACACAAACCCCGGCTTTTAGCCTATTAAAACCCTTGCTTCCCCTTCTCAATTGCTCATTTCCTTCAATTTCCTCTGTCTCCTCTCCTCTCTTTGATTATTAGCTTATCTATGTCAGAGTGATGGTATTTTTTTATCTTATTTAATTTATTTACTTTATTTAATTTATTTTCATTATTTAATATATTTACTAATAATTTTTTTTGTTTCTTTCAGGTTTTTCACGAATATATTTTATCACATTCTTCTTCTTTAAATTATTTCTACAAATGATCCAAATAATACCAGTTAAACAATATACTAAAAATAAAATATTTAATAAAATTATATAGTCAATTAAATATAATTTTTTTATTTAACAGAAAATCCATATTATTAAATAATAAATATAATATGTAAATTTTATAATAAAAATATTAAAATTTTGTTATTTTTTTAATATATTCATCTATTTAGTAGCGGTTCATGAACCACTACCAAAGTTGTCATCAAAAATTTAAATTTTTGAACAATACAGCAGTTTGTAAACCAATACCCAAACTGCTACAAATTTAGTGGACCTTTTGAAATTTTCAAATATTATAGCAGTCTACAAATTGCTACTATGATGCACCAAAAAATGAGGGGTAATGTCGTAAGATTGTAGTGGTTTCATAAACCACTACACCTTTTGCAGAGTTTTGCTCAGGAGGGTAGCGGTTTATATAACTTCTACTATTTAGCTTGCTTTGCTTCTTATTGTAGCGGTTCGTTGAGCCGCTGCTAAATTCCCATATAGAGGTTTGATATGCTATTATAGTATCCCAAAATTGCTACAAAATGCTGTCTTTTTTGTAATGTTATGAGGGTGAAGAAAAAAGGGGGGGGAAAAGGAGGGAAGGTGAGTTTGGCGCCCTTGTCTGCATTAAAAATTGGTAGAATCCATCGTTTTGTTATAATTTATTTTGTCAATTTATTCTCTGAAAGTCTCTTTATGGTGCCATTAATTCAAAGCTCGTCTTCTCCATGATCGATTGTTTGAGGGTCTCAAGATGCAAAAGTTCTTGTTGATGCTCTAATTGGATATTGTGTGCATCGAATTTGAAATGAAATATGCATTATCAATAAGCTTGTAAATGCTATGACATTGTACACGCCCTACAAAAATCAATTTAAAACTATAGGAATCGAACTGGGCATTCTAAAATTTATTGACAAAATAAAATATAATTAAAAATATGATTCTTTGACAGTCATCAATAACCTATATATATTGATTATATTAGGCACTTGTTTTTATCAAGCTACCCAATGCCCTAGTTGGAGAATATGTGGTGTTCAGAAACGTATTCGTTTCTGATAATTAATGGTAAAATCGATGCTCGCTGAACTATTCTTTCTCAATATAATGACGTTGCGCACTGACTGACTAAATACTTTTAGAAGGTAATTGACACGAACCAGATTTTATCATGCAGAAGCAGAACTACAGCGATGAGAAAAGAGCTGGCAAAGATATATATATATATATATATATATATAACCGAAAAGGAATGTGCTAAATTAATGAATCATGTTGATACAAAGAGGCCTAGAGGGTGATGTAAGATTTCAGAAATGGAAAGCAGAATTCATAAAACACGCATAATGAAGAGCCTCACTTTTCAACCCACCCACGCTCTCTTGATCCCTTTTTCAATGGCGTTAGGTACAGACAAGCTTCCGCTCGCTGCATGTTTTCTTTTCCCCACTTCCTCTCTACTCTACACTATTAGCCTTGGGATTCAATCATTCCCACCTTCTTCACTTGTGCTTTCATTTCTCTCCATACCACCCC